TTGGGCCCCAGCCAGCCCCCACCTGCAGCAGGGAGGCATTCCAACCTGCTGCAGGGAGGGATTCCAACCTGCTGGAGCAGGCCCTTGCTTACCCTTTAATAGGTTAACCAGTTAATGTTTGATGGTTTAGCCAATTAAATGGGATTTTACACATACTGGAGTTAGACAGAAGCAGCGCTGTAGCCTGGGCCAAGCTGAAGACTGCCTGCAGTCAGCCCCCACCTCTTCTGGGGTGTGGAGCCATTCCCTTCCCCCACACACCTTGCCCTGGGGCGGCTGTAAACTCTAGCCTACACACCTTTGTGGGCCTTCCATTTCATATTCCCAGTTTTCAAATGGCTTCTCCCACGACACTGGGAAAGACCCACCCAAACAAAGGACACGGACAATTTAAGGGGAAGCAACAAAACTGTCTTTACACAATGCTATCAAATGTACAAAATGAAACAGGAATAAAAAACACTGTCACCGAGTTCTTCCATTTCTAATAATCTTGAGCGTTACTTGTATATTTTCCAGGAGCTTAATTAAAAATCAGCTAGTGCAACCTAATATTTCCACCATTTCTTACAAAAAAAATTGCTTTAGGACCAGTTAATTTTCAATGTAGCAGCATCCTGCTGCAGTCATTGGCATCCCAAGGGTTACAGCACTGTGCCGCGTAGCAGCATCCTGCTGCAGTCATTGCATCCCAAGGGTTACAGCACTGTGCCGCTCTGAGACACCTATTAGAAGCTGCATATAAATGAAGTGAAACTAACAAGCTTATTTTCAATAGCCAAGCAGAGCCAAATACAATTTAAATGTTTTAATATTCTAATTTCCTCTCCATGCAGCTTATTTATCATTGTATTAATCTCTGGTGAAATTGGAACCAAATGAATAAACAGACTTCTAAGCAGCTTGTGAATTTAATTGGCACTTCTCCCTTGTTCATTTTCAATTTAACTATACAAGATCCTGTCAGATTTCCCTTTGTCAAATTGCTTAGAAATATACTGGGAGAGAACATCACGCACAGGAGCAAAACACGCACTGAAGACTGGGAGTGAAAGGGAAAGAAAACACGCACATGTAGGTTTAGTCTAATTGTGACTGCTGCAGAGTGGAAGCTAGGCCTCGATTCTGCAAGGTTGCCACCAGGGTGGATTGCTGTATACCTGGGCAGATGCTGCTGAGGCAAGCAGATCTCCATACAGTCTACTTGCAATCTATCTATGCCACCAATGGGGCCCAAATTAATGATTCCAGTGAAGACCCGGGCAAGCCAATTAAACTGAAGCGTTCTAGGCCTTGTTGGTCACCTCCGGTCAAAAAGGATGACAAAGAGAGCATCAAAGAATTTTATTCTCCACAAGTTACAGTGACCAGTTATATTTTAAAAAATGATTACAGAGGGTATCAAAACAACAACAGAAACCTATTTACTTGGACACCTGCCTCCCACCCCTCTCTTATCCTCCAGGCTTTTTAATCTCTTACGCTACTAAGCTTTCACCTAGATTTTCTTGCACCTGGGAATATAACACTTCACACACAACCTTTGTGTTTCTCTATTTCGAACCTCAGGTTTATCAATTCTTTCTGCGCTTGACTAGTGAAATCTCCAGGGAAGTCACTTACCATTGTGAAGACAGTCTGCTACCGGGCACCTGAACTATCAAATCATTTTGGTAATACTAGCGGTCCTGGTAGATGCAGCATATTTATTCTGGTAAATTACATGGGTCCTTCCTCATCCTGCCCATAATACACTGAGGCAGAAGAGCTCCTTGCCAGTCCCACAGCTGAATCAGTGACCAGTCAGAAGTTTTATTTCACCAGCTGATATGCCCATGTATTCAGCAACTTGAGCCCCTCCAAAACAGGCACCTGCTCAACCACAGAAGCCCTGATCTCTGCGACCACTCACATGCAAGAGACAAAAACTTAAAAAAAAAATCACTTCTGAACACTTAATAGGACTCAAATCTTCTCTCCCTGCCCAACCACTGCAGAGAGGGCTGCTGATACAGATAGAACCATGATTTTTTTTTTAAACACTAGACAAATTGTGTCATTATTGGCAAAAAAGAGCTGAAAAAAGTGTATCAAAAATGCTCAATTTGAAGGAGTCACAGAAAATGGTCTTTCCTCTTGGTAACCCCACCCCCAAGATACACTTACAGTCACAAATGCCTTTAGAGAGGTCCACCACCTTGGTCTCCTGGGTAGAAACCGCATCGGCAATATCGCTATGCCCCTGAATGAGCAACGCAGCGAACCTAAGTGAGTTCTGACACCCCACTGTTGGGTGCAAGGAGATTCGGTGACCTGCAACGGGTTAATTGTGTTTAAACACGGACGTCTCAAACAAGATAAAAAGACTTAAAGAGGGGGAATGGAGCTGTTCACCCCTTTTAAGCAGCAGGTCAGGAAGGTGGAGGCTTCTTACAGTGCTGTGTCCTTGAAAATGGATTAAAATCCCCAAAGTAGCGGGTACGTGGTTGGTTTTCTGAGTTCTAGAAAGACAATTGATGCTGTTTCATGTTTGCTGGATTTTCCAGAGAGTAAAGAGTGATCTGGGGACAAGCTCAGGGACTGGGGGAGGAAAACGAGAATCTGTCTTGAACATGCAGTCAAAGTTTTTTTTCTGGTTTGTTTTCCTTTTTGTCTTTCGGACATTTCCGGCTGAAGAAATGGCAATACACGCATGGCTTCCAGTTTTTATAGTGAAGAATTCCCATGGGTAGCACTGCAAAGACAGAACGTCAAGACGCATTTGTGATTTTTTATTTAAGTCACTCCTCTCCTAACTCCTTTGAGACTTGAGACTTGTTTGTTTGATGGCCAGCGAGGGATGTGTAAATAGAAACTTGATCTTGTTCAAAGACACTAACCCTCAGTGCCTCTCTCTGCGGTACAATATCACGCCCATTTACTAGGAGGAAAATAGGCAGAGAGAATGGGTGAAGTCAATGAGACAGATCTTGAATGACCCAGCATAGAAGTCCTTGCTCAATAATTATAATGTACGGCTTATGACT